AAGAAGGAGATATATACCTTTCCTACACCACCCATGCCAAAAAGCAACCAACAACCCAGTTGCATATTTAAGAGTTCCTATACTTGAAGAAACTAATGACAACCTGAAAATTAATCGGAGGGAGTTATTGGATATATTTTTCAATGGCTGTTATAAATAAATAAAAAAGAACGGTTATTCGGTAAGATCATACACTTGACATTGGTTTGGAAGTGTCTTCTCTCTGCCTTTCGGGTATTCGGTAAGATCAAGAGAGGCTGCACAGGAGGAGAAGAAAGACTATATATATGAAGAAAGTGAGAGCACATGAGACGACGAGAGTAAAGAAAGGAAGAGAGGCTGTCACACAGATATTTTGGCTATTCTTTTTCTGTTTTATTTGTTTGTTTGCTATTACTTCCCTTCATTACTTCACCACCTACTTCACCAGTCAAACTAATTCAGCACACCTACCTATATGTTATTAGTTCCCTTCATCATTATTTCACCAGCCAAAATAATACACCGACAATGAATATGAACTGATCAACTTAAATTTTTTGCTGAACTGAACGAAAGTAACATAAAACCTTTTCAATACCTAATTAATTAAAAAGATGAATAAAGACACCTTTATATTATACATGGGAGGAAAATCAATCATGAAAGATAGGGCAATAACTATATAGTGCCACAATGGGTTAGCTCATGTGAGTATGCGATTATATTTTTGTTGTTTTTAATTTTTGAATACAATCGATAGTCTAAGTTATAAGGGGGACGATGATTTTTCAAACAAACACTTTTTCGCTAAGATGGACCCATTTGCAAGCATGCTTCACAATAGGCATGGGCTTAGGAAATGGCAGTTATAGTCTTTAGAGAACGTATTTGGACCAAACAACAGGATCAAGTGTACTTTCAGATTTATTTAAGATAAGAGATTTACACAAGATACAGTAGTTTGATAGCTTTGATCACATTTCTAAGGGCTTCAGGCACAAACACACAAATAAAACGACGTAGTAGTAGCGGAACTCCCATCTACTGTACCAGGCTAG